CTCCATGACGAGACCAATGCGGCGCTTGGCAATCCCATTCTTCTGTGGAGAGGCCGGAAGCGTGTACGACTGGACGATGCCCTCAGCACCACAGAAGTTGTCGAGGAGGCGGGAGAAAAACTCACCACCTCGGTCAGAGTGCAGCTGCAGGACTGGGAGGTCCTGACGGAAACGAGCACTGAGCTGGAGACGGACAGTGCGGATCAAGCGGATCAAGACACCGCGGACATCCGTCTTTCTTTGCAAGGGGAAGACCATGGTGTAGCGAGTGTAGTCATCTACAACCAGCAGAAACTAGAGCTCGCCACCCTGTCCAGTGACGCAGGCGGGGCCCCAGACGTCCATGTGCAGGGTCTGCAGAGGAGTAGTAGTAGGAGGAAACAAGGAGGAGTGAGGAGCGGCGCGCTGCCGCCCCTCGACGCAGGGAAGGCAGGGCGGTGCAAGCGACCTCAGAAGCAGGGGCAGGGACCTGGGGAGACCAGACATAAGGAGACGGGAGTGCATGCCCCGAAGGCGGGGCAAGGAGGGGTGGCCAAGATGGTGGTGCCAGAGGAGAGTTTGGTGCGTGAGGAGACGACACGAACAAGACGCAGCGACCTCAACCAACGCAGCTACCTGACCTTACTCAGCAACCAGTGGAGACCCAGTGGTCAGTGTGTACAGGCCAGACCCAGGCCTCCGAGTGAACGTGGCGAGGTGCTCACCAGTGCGTGAGTCCATACAGATCACCACGAGCTCGCCTCTAGGCTGGGTGACAGTGACCCACTGGTCCTGGAGGACAGAGGTAGCCACCAAGTTCTTAGCGAACGAGGGGAGGTGGAGACCTGTGAGGAGGCCGGACGGGGCCGCCGGACAGGGAAGAACAGTGGCGCCACGCGCGACTACCGGGCCCTCGTAGGGGTCGGCCAGTGTGACAGGGACATGGACTGTGAGCAGTGTGACTGTGGTGCTGTCGTGGAAGAAGCAACGAGACGCGCCTGAGTCGAGAGTAAAAGTGTACAAGGCCTCCTCAGGATGTGCACCTGTACTAACTGAGTCAAAAGCACCAAGAATAGCAGCCTCTACGGCTTCAGGTGCCTCTACACCCCGAGTACAAGTATTCCGAAACCCTCCGCCACCGGGGCTGCCCCACCAAACAGCCCACTCACGAAGCTGCTGCAGGGAGAGAGTCTCCGGCGGACGCTGCTGCTGCTGCTGTCCACCCCCAGAACCTCCGCGTCTACCAGCGGCACTACTAGCAGGAGTAGACTCACAGGTACCTCCAGTAGTAGCACCCCAAGCTCCGCCACCGGGGCTGCCCCACCGGACAGCCCACTCATGACGCTGCTGTTGTGAAAGCAGCTTCCGTCGACGAGCACGGCCAGCTCCGCCACCGGGGCTGCCCCACCAGATTGCCCACTCGCAAAGCTGCTGCGGCGAGAGAGAATCCTGCACACTCGGCTGCCGCTGACGTAGGACAGTAATATTGGCCATGGTAGGCAGTGTCAGTTAGCAACATCGGCGCAAGGGCTGAGGTAGCGACTGTAGTGGCGGTAGCTAAAACAGTGGGTGCAGTGGCAGCAGTGGTAGGAGCAGTAGTGGTAGCAATTGTAGGAGCGTGCGCAGGCGATAGCAAGGGCGGCAGTGGCAGTTGGCGCTGCGTGCGGGGCAGGGCAGGAGCGCGCAGGCAGCGCGAGCATGCAGGGTAGGAGGGCGTGCAGCAGCAGGTGGTAGCACCTAGGGCGGCAGTACCTAGGGCGGCAGCACCTAGGGCAGCAGCAGGCGGTAGCTCCTAGGGCAGCAGCAGCAGGCGGTAGCTCCTAGGGCAGCAGCAGCAGGCGGCACTTGCGTGCGTGCAGGGCAGGCGCGAGCAGCGCGAGCAGGGCAGAGCACGGGTCGTTGGGCAGCAGGGCGCACTGGGCGCTGGGCTGCAGGGCGCGCTAGAGCGCTAGGCAGTAGGGCGCGCTGGCGCACTGGGCAGCGGGGCGCGCTGGGCAGCAGGGCGCGCTTGTGCGCTGGGAAGCGGGGCGCGCTGGCGCACTGGGCAGCAGGGCGTGTCAGAATTATGTTGTTATAACTGCATATAGGTCTAGCGTTAGTGTAGTTATCTTGATATCCTGCTTGGTGGTGTACCCCCCTTTCCTGCCCTAGATGTTGTGACCCTCTCCATAGTGAAACCAACATTTTCTCCTCTCTCCTTGGCACAAATCTACTCGACTCCCCCTTGGCCTAGGCTACTAAGCCTAGGCCCTAAACCTAACTACCACTTGTGCTAGTATCTCAACATGGTATTAGAGCCTGTTAAGTCCTGGCCTGTGGGCCAGCCTCACGCTTCCGCCGCTGTTTTTCAGGTCGCGCGCCTCGGGCGCGTGGCGATTTTCGTTCTGTCCCGCGCCCGGGTGGCGCGTGACGTTTTTTCTGCCCATCGCGGACCTGCCCCTGGCGCCCGCGACGGCGCCCTGAGCCGCCGCGGACCCGCCCCTGGCGCCCGAGACGGTGCCCTGAGCCGCCGCGGATCCGCCCCTGGCGCCCGCGACGGTGCCCTGAGCCGCCGCGGACCCGCCCCTGGCGCCCGCGACGGTGCCCTGAGCCGCCGCGGAACTGCCCCTGGCACCCGCGACGGTGCCCTGAGCCGCCGCGGACCCGCCCCTGGCGCCCGCAACGGTGATCTGAGCCGCCGCGGACCCGCCCCTGGCGCCCGTGACGGTGGCCTGAGCCGCCGCGGACCCGCCCCTGGCGCCCGCGACGGTGCCCTGAGCTGCTGCGGACCCGCCCCTGGCGCCCGCGACGGCGCCTCTGCCTCACCTCGCGCCTGCCTTCGAGCAGCCGCCCCTGACTCACCCGCGTCTGCCCTCGGAGCAGCCGCCCCTGCCTCACCCGCGCCTGCCCTCGGAGCAGCCGCCCCTGCCTCACCCGCGCCTGCCCTCGGAGCAGCCGCCCCTGACTCACCCGCGTCTGCCCTCGGAGCAGCCGCCCCTGCCTCACCCGCGCCTGCCCCTGGAGCAGCCGCCCCTGCCTCACATGCGTGTGTGTGATGGGTGTGTGTGATCCCCTTCCCCTCCTCTTTTCTCTCCCACGGCTGCAGCTGCCGCTGGGGGGGGAAGGGTGTGAGGGTGTGGGGGGCCGGGGGAGTGGCACTAGGGACGTTGAGGAGTGTGCAGAGGGGGTTTGGGAGCATGGGGGAGGTTCCAGGAGGCAGCCGCCGTGAAGCCAGCAGCCTCACCTGCCGCCTCCCAACTCCTCCTCCTCACTGCCCCTCTAGTGCTGCCACTTGTTTTTATTTTGTGAACTTGCATCTGCTCTTGCATGCTGTTGCTATTTTCTTTGTCTGTGATGTACCCCTGCAAGTGGTGTCTTGCACTTGGCTATTCCTGCATGCAGTTACGGGGGGATGTCAGAATTATGTTGTTATAACTGCATGTAGGTCTAGCGTTAGTGTAGTTATCTTGATATCCTGCTTGGTGGTGTACCCCCCTTTCCTGCCCTATATGTTGTGACCCTCTCCATAGTGAAACCAACATTTTCTCCTCTCTCCTTGGCACAAATCTACTCGACTCCCCCTTGGCCTAGGCTACTATGCCTAGGCCCTAAACCTAACTACCACTTGTGCTAGTATCTCAACAGGGCGCGCTGGTGCGCTGGGAAGAGGGGGTGCGCTGGCGCATTGGGCAGCGGGGCGCGCTGGTGCGTTGGGTAGCGGGGCGCGCTGGCACGCTGGGCAGCGGGGCGCAGTGGCGTGCTGGGCAGAAGGGCATACTGGCACGCAGGAAGCGCACGGGTAGCGTGCGGGCAGCAGGCGGGCGGTGCGAGCAGCAGACGGGCAGCACGAAGAGCAGGCGGGCGGGCGCACTAGGCAGTGTGGTAGCAGCGCGACTGCGTGCTGGGCAGGGCAGAAACGATGGGCCGGGCAGGAAAAAATTGTGACTGCCCGGGCAGAGCGGAACGAATACGGTGGGCCCTAAAACAATCGGTCCTAACCGGGACCTACTCTGAAACCATGTCAAAAAGGAATGATTGCATTGAGCAGGAAGATAAGTTCAAGTATGAAACCCTCAAGTGTGTACTCACTAGAGTATGCCCCACTACAGCCTAGAGACATACAAACATAATTTGACACATTGAACCCCCTCTCCTTCTGTTTCTCCAAACCAAGCTTGAATGCAATCCCTTCTAACTCTGTCGATGACTTTCCCTCTTTTTTACATACCATGATAGTCAACAAGATTTTCTGTGACCTTGGATCCATGAAAGTGACTGTGCACCACTGCGCCTCCCGTGCCTGTGACCACCGCCGATCCACGGAAATGTACCCATTTCCATGTTTGCACAGCTGCATGTCTTGTCGGGCTCTAGCCGTGCTCTCTTCCCCATGGACGATGATAGCCTCCCACAAACCGTAAGGCCGTCGCATGTAACGATAGAAGGTTTCCCTCCTGATAGAACTAAACCCAAGTGTCCGACTAACCTCCGACAGCTACTGGAAGCCGATTCCCGTCATAAGAAATGCCCCCAAGAACCACGGAAAATGCAAGGAGGTATTTGGGCCTTGTTTGCCTAAACCCCTGGTGATTTTTCCCCTTTCAATAGACCAAACTGCATAGCCTTGCCACACGTATCACAGACCTACAAGACCCCCAACGTCGCCCACGTCATCTTGCACGATCATACGACAAACGAACCCTTACACGCAGTCCCCTGACCGCAGACCATTCGCAGACTCATGAAGAATTGCAGCAATACAATGGGGTCCAAGAGACATACTGCCCCTTTGAGGCTAGTTGCGACAGCGTTGGCCGACTGAGGCCAGGAACGAGCGAGAGCCCTTGGGAGGGGTGCTCCGGCACGTCCCCCTGTTAAGCTGTAGTGGGGTCGAAGTGTAAATGCGGTAGAAAGATGGTAAGCCTTGAATCTAAACTCAGGCCTTTTTGAATGAGTGTTTATTGAATGGATGATGCTGCAAGCATTATACCCAAACAAGATAGGGAAGCCTTTGAACAAGGCTACAGACCCAACAAATCTACATGAATTGCGCTTACCCATCAAGATGGGGCCAGATTGCAGCAGTAGAGGCCGTTGCCCAAACGCTCGGGCGCTCAGGCTCAGATGCCCTTCTAGCTTCATCCCCCTCGTCTTGTCCATCAACAATGGGGCCACCCCCCTCTCCCAACTCTCTCCCCTCTTCCACATGCCCCACACCGTCCATCGGGGCAAACTCCTCCACGACAGTCTCACGTCTCACGGGTGGCAAATCCATCACCGGTGAGAATCCACGCACGGAATGGCGTTGTCGTGTATGGGCTGCTGGGATTATGACGGGTTGTAGAGGCACAATAAAAGGTTGAGCCATCTCTTGCGACACATGTGCCTTGAGCCATCTCTCGCGATACAATCTCTGACCTTACCTCCCTGCCCCCTCCCTAAGCACCACTCTTCCCCCTCTCTCATGCTAGGCCTTCCCCTCGTGCCAGCACCACCTTTCCCCTCTCACAGCACCTCCTTTCCCCATCTAATGGCACCTCCCTTCACCCCTCTCACAGTACCTCCTTCTCCCTATCAAAGCACCTCCCTTCCCCCTCTCACAGCACCTCCTTTCCCCATCCCACAGCACCTCTCTTCTCCCTCTCGTAGCACCTCCCTTCCCACTCCCGTGTCGCACCTCCCTTCCCCCTTTCACTGCACCTCCCTTCCCCCTCTCACAGCACCTCCCTTCCCCTTCTCACAGCACCTCCCTTTCCCCCTTCACAGCTACTCCCTTCCCCCTCTCACAGCACCTCCCTTCCCCCTTTGCCAAAGCACTATAGTGGCACAGTCATCGCACTCCCATTCAGCCTACAAGCCTGCTCAGCTTATGGAATTTTGTGGGCAGGTGATTCATCATGTGTTATTCAGACCCTCAAATTTTCAGAATTTTGTGAAGCAGTTTACAAAGCATGGCAACATTTTTTAGTTTCAAGACTTATGGCATCCCAGAAGTGTGTGTTACTCTTTTTTGGTAACACCCGAGTTCACCATTTCGGCTGCTGACTCATCTACCAAGCTCTGATTGGTCTGAAAATCGGTGTGGCAGTCCTTTGCCGTGTTTTTCAGGTGGTCACCGAGTTTCAGCATAACCCAGCATCAGATAAGCACGTGACAGCTGTCGAAAGTTACTGTTCCGTGGTCATGGTGCACTGCTGGCAGCATTTCCCTAGCCACCCTTTCATTGTTGTCATGACAATGGTGCAGGGACAGAGAATGAGACAAGAAGTACAGGTGGTCAAGTGGGAATCTACCAACCTCCTTTTGAGAAGTAAGGTCTTCCTGGAAGCAGCTTGCAAGAGGGTGAAAGTGGGAAGACAAGCTGACTCATGGTTGGCTTGACTCACTATTGGTAGCCTTGAGTACAGCTCTGAACATCCAAGTGTGGTTGGCTTTGCTGACCTAGCGAGGACGTTTCCCATCCTTCTCTAGCCTTTCTCCCCTAGAACTCAACCTTCTCTGAGTTTCCAGGATGGTCCCAACCCCTTAAGAGTCCCCTAGGCAATGTTGTACTTACCTCTTCCTTGCATCAATGAAACTCCACGTTTTCAGCCGAGCTTATGTTTTTTGTTCACTGCGTAGCGCATACACCTCTGGTAAAAGCAAAAAATATACAGTTGGAAAGAAAACACTTGAAGCTAACTTATGTCCAAGTTTCAGCCTCGTATGTTATCGGAGCTGATCGTGACGGCGTTTTTAACAGAGGCGGTTTGAAGTCATCAAATTCTGCTTAGGTGGTTTCATGGGCATCCGCGACCCCTAAGTGGACTCTAGACTACAACAAGTGGTATCAGAGTGGTTCTTCTCTGTTCCTGGGTCAATATGGAGGCTGAAGGTTCTGCTCCAGCTGGTCCTAGTGGCAGTGGTGGCGTGAGAGGCGCTGGGGAAGCAGGAAGAGGCGTTGCAGGTGGATCTGCACCAATAGCATCCGTTTCATCACCAACCAAGGATGATGTGAATGCATTCAACCTGGATAAGTTCTCTGGGGAGGATTGGGCATCATGGAGCTTCAGGATAGAGCTCCTATTTAACCATTATGGGATGCTTGAAGTGATGGATGGAGAATTGAAGAGGCCTGCGAGCAAAGGAGCGACCAAGGAATGGGATCGCCGATCCAAGGATGGATTCTTCCTTCTCTCTCAATGCCTCTCATCCAACCAGCTGCACCATGTCAGGCATCTCATCAAGGATATACAGTGTGGTCCCAAGGCATGGAAAATATTAAAGGATGTCCATGCCCCCAGCAGCGAAGCGATGGTGGTGGTGCTCGAGCGACAACTCCATGCGGTGAAGACCAACGAGGGTGATGCCGTGAAAGGAGTGTTTGATCAACTCTGGGACCTCTATGTGAAACTCTCTGCTGCTGGTGTGGACTACCCTGAGAAGATCAAGTGCTACAAGGCTCTCTCCCTGCTGCCGGAGTCGTGGGGCCCCTTGGTGGTCAACCTCAATGGCATGAAGGACTCATGGTCCCTTGAATGGATCCGTGCTCAAGTTCTTCAAGAGGAGTTTCGGAGGAAGGAGCTGACTGCCGCTGCCACTGAAGGTGGAGGCTCTGCCTACGGCATGAAAGGCTTCAAGGGACGTGGCAGCAAGAAAGGCAAGGCCAAGGAAGGCTCTGGAGGGGAGCAGTATTTGGGAGGGAAGCGTGGCAACAAGGGAGGCAAACGGTGTTGCGGCAAGTGTTGGTATTGCCATGTGGAAGGTCACCCATGGTTTAAGTGTCGCAAGTTACCTGACGGTTGGAGGCCTGGTCAGCCATCAATTGAAGGCTCTAAGGGTGTTCATGGAGCTATGGGAGAAGGCATGGGCAGTGAGGAGGGCGATGGAGGTGCCGGCGGACATGGCGGCATGTTCTACCATGTACGAGAGGCATACTCCGAGGACATGGTTGTACCGGCCAGCAAGGTTGCTCTTCACCGTTCCTCCCATTGGGTCATCGACATGGGAGCCTTCATGACCATGACCAACCGAGAGGATCTGCTGGATGAAGTCAGGCCATCAAAGGCAGCCACCGTTGTTTCAGCCACCGGAGAAGTTGTACCCGTGCGTGGCGAGGGGAGAGCCATGTTTATGGGTGCGGATGGGAGGCTTGTGGGGCTGAAGCGTGTTCTTCTTGTCCCTGGACTATGTGCCAACCTTTTCTCTACCAAGGCATTGAGTGAGGCAGGGACGAAGATGGAGATGATGGGCACAAAGGTGTTCAAGGCAACTTTGGATGGGCACGTGTTGTGGGACCTCCGAGGCGGCAAGGACATGCACCGGTCCATGTGGGAGATACCGGAGCTGCCATGGAAGGAGGCGGCTGCGCACTTGGCTGCTGAAGCTGTAAGAGGAGGGCATGCAAGCCACGTAACCAGTGGAGGAGGTGGTGATGGCAGTGATGGTGGGCTGCTTGTGCATGGGGGGGGTGCGCTTCCAAGTGTAACTCCTAGCAAGGGTGAGACGGATTGGCTCACCGCACACAGTCGGTTTGGCCACGTGGCGCTACCTCAGTTGCAGCAGCTGCTTAAGGAGGAAAGAGTCAAGGGGTTGAGGATAAAGGGGGAGCCCAAGGAGGTGGGCTCTTGTGAGACTTGCTTGACCAGCAAGTTCTCACGGTTTCCCTTACATTCGGCGGTGGGGCAGTCAAGTGATCTGGTGGAGCTCGTGCATGTGGATCTTGTGGGACCCATGAAGGTAAAGGGAGATGGTGGGGCCCTGAATTCCATGACTATGGTGGATGATTACACGAGGCTCACCTGGTCTTTTCCATTTGCAAAGAAGAGTGATGCTGCAAGGGTCATCATTGAAGAGTGGCTGCCCATGGTGGAGCGAGAGAGTGGCAAGCGGGTGAAGGCGATTCGTAGCGACCGTGGTGGGGAGTTTTTGGGAGCGGAGTTCCGGAGCTGGTTGAAGCGGCATGGCATCAAGCAGCAGCTCACCACGGCCTACACCCCTCAGTCCAACGGCGTGGCAGAGAGAGCGAACCGGACCATCATAGAGGGCGGGAGAATGATATTGGTGGACTCGGGTCTACCCTTGCGGTTCTGGCCCCTCGCTATTCGTCATGCTACCGTCATCAAGAACCTGTTGTTGACTCATGTGGAAGGTCAGCATTGGGTCCCTATGGAGAAGTGGAGTGGCAAGAAGCCCTTGGTGGATATGCTTCGTGTCTTTGGGTGCATGGGGCTCGTGCATGTCCTTAAGGAGAAGTTTGACAAGCTTCAAGCGGCGGCGGTGCGGGCTGTTCATTTGGGTCTTGCACTGGGGAGCAAGGACTGGCTCATGTGGGACCCAAAATCCAACACCATCTTCACTACCAGAGATGCCAACTTCATGGAGGGGCTCATGTTCAAGGAGTGGTCGGAGCGGGGGAGGAGCAAGATCACCATTCGGCTTGGAATAGAGGTGGGAACGAACAACCCACTTCTCATTCCCTCATCTTCAGAGTTGACAGAGGTGTCACATGACTTGGGAGGTGCTGAAGGGGAGGCAGCAGATGTGGAAGGAGTACTGCAGCAAGGGAAGGCCCCTGTAGCTGAGAGAGGTGATACTGAGGAGGAGGTGCAGCAGCCTACACCATCCCCTAAGCTTCCACCAAGGCGCACGACCCAAGGGAAGTGTGATGCTGTCCGTGGTGGAGCCAAGGAAGGAGCAGCCAAGGAGAGGCCCAAGAGAGCTGCCCACCCAAGGGATTTCCTCAAGTATGAAAGGCTTGGGGGTCCCAAGGCATTGCTGGTCCAGGAGGAGGAAGATGAGGAGGAGAAGGGGGCCGAGGGGGAGATGGAGCAGATTTGTTGCTTTGGCGTCAACTTACCTCATGAGCCGGCGTCAATGGAGGAAGCTCTCGCTGGAGATGATCGAGAGGCATGGCTGGCTTCAAGGGAGGATGAGTTCCAGAGTCACATGGAGAATGAAACGTTGACCCTTACCTATCTGCCCACAGGAAGGAAGGCGTTGAACTGCACGTGGGTGTTACGTGTGAAGACCGATGCGGAGGGGAGGTTGGAGAGGCGCAAGACAAGGCTTGTGATCAAAGGCTTTTAGCAGAGGGAGGGGATTGCATTCCAAGAGGTGTTTCCTCCTGTTGCCAAGGCTCCTACGCTCTGGGTGTTGCTAGCAGCCGCTGCTGTTTGTGGCTGGAAGGTGGAGCAAATGGATGTGAAGACGGCGTTCCTCTATGGCGTGGTAGATGAGGAGATCTACATGAAGCAGCCAGAGAGGTATGATGATGGGAGAGGACGTGTTTGCAGGCTCAACAAGGCCATCTATGGCCTCAAACAAGCTCCAAGGTGCTGGTATGCAAGGCTGGTGGAGGCGTTGGAGGCTCTTGGCTTCAAAGTTAGCGGGTGCGACGAGAGTCTCTTCATGACCGAGGGGGAGGAGGAGAAGGTATTTCTCCTTGTCTACGTCGATGACATCCTCCTCTTCTCTCCATCCCTGGAGAGGATCAAGGAGGTGCAAGGGAAGCTGAAGCTGACCGTTCAATGCAAGGCCCTTGGACCAGTGGGGTATTACCTTGGTCTTCACGTGGAGCGGGACGAGGTGAAGGGATGGGTGAGGCTTCATCAACATAAGTACCTTGCAGCCATGGGGGAAAAGTATGGGCTGGAGGAAGGGAGGAGTGTGAAGACTCCTCTACCCTCAGGGTTTCAGCTGCAGCTTGATGAAGAGTGTTGGAGTACGAGTTGCAGCGTCCATTCCAGTCAATGGTGGGGAGTTTGATGTACGCTTCGGTCAACACTCGCCCCGACATTGCGTTTTCAGTTTCACAGCTTGCTTGTGTGGAGTATAGGCCCCTTCAAGAGCACCTGGATGCAGCAGAGAGGCTGGTGAGGTACTGCATGGCAACCTCAAGGGTGGGGCTGCTATATTCAGTGCATGGGCAGCTGAAGCAAAAGGGAGTGGAGGAGGTGAGCACAAAGACTGGTGCACCTGCAAGGCGTGGGCACTTGTACCTCTCGTTCTTCACCGATGCTACCTGGCAAGTGACATCAGTGATGCTACATCCCATGGTGGCTATATCTTCTGTGTTGGAGGGAGTCCAATGAGCTGGAAGTCTAAGAACCAAGGAGAGATAGCTCACTCATCAACGGAGAGCGAGTACATGGCGTTGTTTCATGGAGTGAAAGAGGTGGTTTGGATGAGGAGGTTGCTTGAGGAGTTGGGGCAGGAGCAAGAGGTTCCTACACCTGTGTTTTGTGACAGCCAAGGAGCAACTACAATGGCGCGTAATGCTGTGCTCCATGGGCTGAACAAGCTCATGCATATCAAGTGGCATTGGGTGAGGAAGGAGGTGAAGAATGGCACCATCTCCTTGCACTACATCAACACTACAAAGCAACCTGCAGATTTCTTGACTAAGTGGCTTGCAGAGCATCAGCATTGGAGCTGTGCCACCTTGTGTGGCATGTCCTTCAGCTAAGGGAGGCAGCTTCAGGGAGCAGCTAAGGGATGAATGAGAGCACGATGAGGGGGAGTTTGTTGTGCCAAAGCACTATAGTGGCACGGTCATTGCACTTCCATTCAGCCTACAAGCCTGCTCAGCTTCTGGAATTTTGTGGGGAGGTGCTTCATCATGCGTTCCTCAGACCCTCTAAATTTCAGATTTTGTGAAGCAGTTTACAAGGCATGACAACATTTTTTAGTTTCAAGACATATGGCATCCGGGAAGTGTTTGTTACTATTGTTTGGTAACACCCGAGTTCACCATTTCGGCTGCTGACTCATCTACCAAGCTCTGATTGGTCTGAACATCGGTGTGGCAGTCCTTTGCCGTGTTGGTCAGGTGGTCACTGAGTTTCAGGATAACCCAGCATCGGATCAGCACGTGACAGCTGTCGAAAGTTACAGTTCCGTAGTCATGGTGCACTGTTGGCAGCATTTCCTTTGCCACCCTTTCATTGTTGTCATACCAATGGTGCAGGGACAGAGAATGAGACAAGAAGTACAGGTGGTCAAGTGGGACTCTACCACCCTCCTTTTGAGAAGCGTGGTCTTCCTGGAAGCAGCTTGCAAGAGGGTGCAAGTGGGAAGACAAGCTGACTCATGGTTGACTTGACTCACTATTGGTAGCCTTGAGTACAGCTCTGAACATCCAAGTGTGGTTGGCTTTGCTGACCTAGCTAGGACGTTTCCCATCCTTCTCTAGCCTTTATCCCCTAGGACTCAACCTTCTCTGAGTTCCCAGGATGGTCCCAACCCCTTAAGAGTCCCCTAGGCAATGTTGTACTTACCTCTTCCTTGCATCAATGAAACTACACGTTTTAAGCCGAGCTTACGTTTTTTGTTCACTGCGTAGCGCATACACCTTTGATAAAAGCTTGCAATATACCGTTGGAAAGCAGAAACCTGAAGCTAAATTATTTCCAGGTTTTAGCTTCGTATAATATCGGAGCTGATCGTGACGACGTTTTGAACAGAGGCAGTTCGAAGTCATCAGATTCTGCTTAGGCGAATTCATGGGCATCCGCGACCCCTAAGTGGACTCTAGACTACAACACCCCTCTCACTGCACCTCCCTTCCCCATCTCATAGCAACTCCTTTCCTCCTCCCTAAGCACCTCTCTCCTTGCCATAGGACCGCATCTCCTCTCTCTGCTCACCTCCGTTCCCCTCTCTCAGCACCTGCCATGTTTAATTTCCCCCTCTCACAGCACCTTCCTACCCCCTCTCATCGCACCTACAATCCCCCCTCTGACATTACCTCCCTTCATTCGTCCCTCACCTCTCTTCCACCTCTCCCAGCACAACCCTTCCCACTCCCTAAGGGACTATCTTCACCATCCCCCATCACCTCCCTTCCCCTTCTCACAGCACCTTCCTAAACCCGCTCACCTCACCTCCCTTCCCCCTCTCACCGCACCACCCTAAACCCTCTTATCTCACCCCAGACCCCCCTCCTTAAGCACCTCTGTTACCCTCTCACATCACCTCTTTCCCCCTGCCAGAATCTCCACTAACCCTCACTAAGCACCACCCTTCCCGCCTCCCTTCACCCTCTCCCGCCTCCCTTCCCCCTCCTACAGCACCTCCTCACCTTTCCTAGGGTTCCCTTCCACCCAGCCCGGCACAGGTACTATTATAGTTGAGTACTATTGGGTTCTATGAGGATACTTCGGTTGTACAGTCATGTCTTAGACATACTACTATCAGTTTCACCATTTGTACTTATAAAAAAGTGTTCCCACACATCCATTCTCCCTACATAAGCACCTATCTACACCGCGCGCCTCATTTCCGTTCCCCTTTCTTCCAGCACTTATCTTGCCCCTCTGACCGCACAACCCTTCTCACTCTCACATCACCTCCTAACCCCCTGCCAGCACCTTCTTCCCTCTCCACACACCTCCATTCCCCCCTCTGACCTCACCTTCCTATCCCCCTCCCCTGTTTGCCTACATTCCCCATATGACATCAACTCCCTTCCCCCTCCCTATGCACTTATCTCTTCCCATTGACCTCACCCCCTTTCTCCCTCTGACAGCACCTCTTGCCCCCCTCCCAGCACCTTCTCTCCCGTCTCTCAGCACCTCCCTCCCCCCTCTGACCTCACCTTCATTTCCCCCTCCCCTCACCTTCCCTTCCCCCTCTGACCTTACCTCCCTTCCCTCTTCCCTCACCTATCTTCCACCACTCACCTCCCCTCCCTTCCCCCTCCCAAAGCACTTATCCTTCCCCTCTAACCTCACCTCCCTTCCCCCTCTCACCTCACCTCCCTCCCCCCTCTATAAGCACGTATCTTCCCCCTACCTGCTCACCTACCTCCCCCTTCTCTCAGCACCCCCCTCTCAAAGGGAAAATTATGGGAAGCAAAGGGGGGAATGAGAGGGAGCAGAGGGGGAAATGATGGGAAGCAAAGAGGGGAATGAGAGGGAGCAGAGAGGAAAATGATGGGAAGCAAAGGGGGGAATGAGAGGGAACAGTGGGAAATAAGAAAGGGATTTATCGCCCCCCGATGGGGGAATGGTTAGGGAGGTGCGGGAACGGGTGCAGGCGCGGGAATGGGAAAGGGGGGTGACGAGGTGGGTACGGAGACAGGAAGGATGTGGAGCATTCATGCATATACTTCAACTGCAGTTTACACCCGGTGTCGTCGCTAATCACCTTCCCTTCCCCCCCTCTCAGCACATCCCTTCCCCCTTGTCAAATTTATGTGAATGTGAGGGGCATGGAACTGGCGTAAGGGGAGGCATGTAAGTAGTGTACATAATGTAAATAGCGAGTCAGCGAGGTATGACGATGGGAGCCGAAGGGTCAGATGGAGTTTCACGAGCGAGGAATAAAGGGGGAAGATGACGCTTGCCGATCCAGAGGGTCGGAGGGTTGTATGGGAGGCATGTCAGAGGGGTGGGAGAAGGGAGGGCGGTACTTACGTAAGCAAGAAGCTAGTGGCAAGTGAAAGCAGCGGAGAACAAGGCAGGAAGGCAGTCACACCGCCAGCAACGGATGGGTGTTCGAGTGCATGCGTGTTTGTTTCCCTGTGTGTGCAGGATTGCTCCAAGGAGCCAGCTGGATCTGGATGTTGGCAGCTGGAGGCAAAGTAGCTAGGGTTCGGAAAGGAGGGCAAGAAGCAGCACGGCTGCAAGTCTGCTCATAGTGGCTCATAGTCACTAACGAGTAGACTGAGATGATGGGACCGAGACTTGGGGGTAGGGATGCTGGTAGAATAGGAGGAATCTTGGATGCAATTCTCATTGCTTGTATGTTTCTCTTTTACACGAGAGCTTTGCTGCAAACTGAGCAAGCGGTGAGGTTAGGGAGATATGACGAGCAAGATTCTTGTAGGCAAAGAAGTTGGGGAGCCAAGTGTGTGAGTGAGCAAAGAGCTCATCATGAGTAGTGACAGGAGGAAGCATCAAAGAAGGGAAAACATGGAGACTTGGGAGGAAGGAGAGCATTGTAAGAAGAGAAGGGAACTGAGGGCATGTGAGGCACAGAGGGTTTCAGGGTAAGGTGAGAAGGGAAGGGCAAGCCAAGCAGCACGAGGGTAATCCAGGAGGAGGTGGGTGTGTATCCGACACCCTCTCTCAGCACATCCCTTCCCCCTCTCTCAGCACATCCCTTCCCCCTTTCTCAGCACATCCCTTCCCCCTCTCTCAGCACATCCCTACCCCCTCTCACAGCACCTCTGTCCTCTCCTACTTCCCCCTATCAGAGCACCTTCCTTCCCCCCTCTGCCCTCACCTTCCTTCCGTGATGTGGGCGCGCTTTGCTACTCGTGGTGTGCGTGCACCCTACAGCGCCTTGACTTCCTACCCTCTCAGTGCACCTTCTCCCCCCCCCCTCCCCCCCCCCCCTGTCCTCCCCTCCTTCCCCCTCTCAGCGCACCTTCTCCCCCCCTCTGTCCTCACCTCCTTCCCCCTCTCAACGCACCTTCTCCCCCCCTCTGTCCTCTCCTCCTTCCCCCTCTCAGTGCACCTTCTCCCCCCTTCTGTCCTCTCCTCCTTCCCCCTCTCAGCGCACCTTCTCCCCTCCTCTGTCCTCTCCTCCATTCCCCTCTCAGCGCACCTTCTCCCCCACTCTGTCCTCTCCTCCTTCCCCCTCTCACAGCACCTTCTCCCCCCCTCTGTCCTCTCCGCTTTCCCTCTCTTAGTTATCATTCTCCCCCCCTTTGTCCTCTCCTCCTTCCCCCTCTCAGCGCACCTTCTCCCCACCACTGTCCTCTCCTCCTTCCCCCTCGGAGCGTACCTTCTCCCCCCTCCCGTCCTCTCCTCCTTCCCACTCTAAGAGCAGGCGCTGATTTTTAGTGGTCACGTGGATTTTCTTTTTTGCGCGCGACATTTCTGTAGGCGAGTTGTGCCTACTGCCGTGCTTGCAATTTTGGGAAAGGAGGTGTCGTTGCATTATAGAGGTTTGCGCGCTGATGTTTAGTAGGCTCATGACTCATGTGCCCAGTGCACGCGCTTATGCCTCGGTGGCGCGTGAAATAACAGTCGCATTTGCGCTCTGTGAAGATCGTAGCGACTCTGCCTCGTCGGCCCACGACGAGTCCGAGTAACCTGTAAGTGTAACTGGCTGCTTCCCTCCAAGGACAAGTCCCATGCCTGATGTACTCGCCACATACTTCGCCACCCTCTTAGCAGCGTACCAGTGGGAAGGTCGGTGTCTCCCACGCGCAACAAAGCGCGCAAGGACGCTAAGAGGGTAAGCTAGGTCTGGGCGAGTACAGGTCATCAGGTACATGAGACAACCCACCAGCTCAGGATATAGACCGCTGGACTCAAATGGCTCGTCCGAAGGTGGAGCCGTGAGCCCATGATCCACAGCAAGAGGGGTGGGCTATACCTTGGAGAACAGGAAGCGAAACCGCGTGAGGATCTGCTCGACCATATGCGACTGCGTCAGCGTAATTGTGCGAGCTGCCCTGTCCCTAGTGATCTACAGGCCAAGGTAGTGCTGCAGCTCACCAAGGTCAATGCAAGTGTGTCTCCTCTGCAGTTCCTCCTTCACGGAGGCCAGTGCGTGTCGGTCGGGAGTGGCGAAGACCAGGTCGTCAACATAAACCAGAACAAACAACGGGGTCGAGCCACGGCGGACGAGCAGCGACGGGTCAGCAGACGTTGGAAAGAAGTCAAGCGCTGCAAGAGTCGTACGTAGCGTATCGTGCCACTTGCAGGGAGCCTTGCGTAGGCCGTAGACCGGTCGACGCAGCTGCCACTGGGTCCCAGGAGGGAAAGAGCCGGTGAAGCCAGGCAGACGACGCAGCCAGATCTGCTCGTGCAGGCTCCCCTGAAGGAGCGTAGTCGAAAAGTCCAATAAGTGCAACTCGTAGTCGCGCTGTGCTGCAATATGCAGCAACCCCTGAAGAGTGGTCATCTTCGGGGTGGGAGCGAAGGTCAGAAAGAAGTCTACCCCCTCTCGCTGACTGAAGCCTCTCGCCACGTAGCGCGCCTTGAACACTGGTGGTGCTCCAGGCGACCGCTTCACCTTGTAGAGCCACATGCCACTGACAACGTTCGCCCCAGGTCGTGGGATGGGGTCGACGTAGGTGCCTGTGGACCTATAAGATGCCATCTCTGCCTCCTCAGCTGCTATCCTGTACAAAGCCCAGGGTCGCGAGACCGCCTCAGCATGATTGCAAGGGATCAGGATGTGAAGAGCATCTGGATCCCCATCAGGGGCAAGTGGCATGGCGCAGAGATGAGGAACAGCGGTCGCAAGGAAACCAAGCTCGAACTGCCTGTACTCGAGGACCTCCAAGGGAAAAACAGGAGCACCCCCAGAGACTAGAGAACGAGCAGGGCCACTCACCAAGTGAGTGATGTAGTCAAGGCGGTGGGAAGAGGCAAAGCCAGCGACTGTGGTAACAAGTGCCGAGACAGATGACAGGGGTGCAGTCGGGTGCGACACCAACACGGACAATACACGGGAGACGACATGACGAGAGGCACGGAGGTAGTCGGACAACGGGTCGTGAAACACAGTGAGGGACGACTCAGGAGGCTGTGGAAGGACAGGAGGAGGTGGAGCACGAGAGCGAAGAACAAGGTGAAACGGGCCGTCGGCATGGTAACGGGACCGGCCAGGCTCTGGGGAGACGGCACGACTGAGGGGAGAACGACGAGTCCACTGGGACGAGGAAAGGGACTCGACAGGGGGAACATGAGGGGACGGTAGGGGACCACAAACAAAGCGTGCAGGTGCTGAGCCGGGCAGGTCTCTTAGTCGCTGCTGCTCCGCCTCCTTTGGCGACTGCTGCGGCAACAACACCTGCTGCTGCGGCCGGGACTCCTGCTCTACCCTCTCCTGGTGCGGCCGCAACTGCACCTGCTGCTGCGGCGGGACTCCTGCTCTACTCTCTCCTGCTGTGGCTGCAACTGCACCTGGTGCTGCAGTAGTGAATCCTCCTCTACTCTCTCCTGCTGTGGCTGGGACTCCTCTACTCTCTCCTGACGCTCCGACTGAGACTGCTGCTGCTGCTGGTGCTGCTGCTGCCGTGACTCCTCCTTTACCCTCTCCTGATGCTCCGACTCAGACTACTGCTGCTGCTGCTGCTCCTGCGGCCGTGACTCCTCTACTCTCTCCTGACACTCCGACTGAGACTGCTGCTGCTGCTACTGCTGCTGCCGTGACTCCTCCTCTACTCTCTCCTGACGCTCTGACTGAGACTGCTGCTGCTGCTGCTGCTGCCGTGCTCTCTCAAACCGCTCCCGCTCCTCCCTCTCCAACATGTCTAAACACTGCACTCAGGTCAGGAAACATACAGTGCGCGGCGTAGGCATCACAGTGCTCGTGTCTCCGGCTCCAGCACCCCTAGAACCAGATTCTCCACCGACCACACCCCCAGGGACTCCAGTGCCTCCTGCAGGAACACCCCCAAGCTCCGCAGCGACCGGCCGCGGAGGCAAACGAGGAGGGAACTGCGGAACAGACGGGAAGCCAGGGGGTGAGGCGGGGCGAGGCCACTGAGTCGAGACAGCCGTGTCCTCCTCAGGAGGGGTCTCCACTCTCACACCCCCTGCACCCCTAGAGCTGGCATCACGGGCTCCAGCAGCCCCAGTACCCTCACCCTCCGTAACTGCACCTCCTGCACCCTCAGACACGACGGGGACTGGACGCTGTGGGGGGGAAGACTGCGGAGTGACGTGCGACACACCTGACAGGGCAGGATGCGAAGGGGGTGGGGCTACAAGGGTGACTCGGGGGGGCTCAAGGGTGAGGAACAGCGGGGGGGAAAAGGCCTTAAAACCTCTGTGTGGGCGACTCCTGTAGTAACTGACCGACTCGTCGAAAGTGACGTCCTGAGAGGCAAAGAATTGGTGGGTGACTGGGTCGTAGAACACCCAGCCTGAGGCGTCGAGTGGGAAGCCAAGAAAGACACTGGCACGGGTGCGCGCAGACAACTTGTTCACGCCAGGGGCGCGAACGTGAGCTAGACAACCCCAGACGCAGTAGTCAGCTGCTACGCCCGAAAAGCCTGTCCAAAGGAAGATCGGCGTCACCCGTGGCCGTGCGTCACTAGGCCACAACTTCAGCTAGTGTGCGGCGTAGCGGACTGCCTGAGGCCACAAGAACTGGGGGGCACTGGCATGGCACATGGAGGTCCGGGAAACCTCCATGACCAGGCCAATGCATCGCTCGGCTACCCTGTTCTGCTGCGGAGAGTCTGGTAGCGTGTAAGACTGGATGATCCCCCGACCCTCACAGAATTTCTCCAGGCGAGTGGAAGAAATCCCACCATCACGGTCCGAGTGTAGGCGGACCCCACACAGACCCCGGGCGCCACCCCTCGCTAGTAGCCACGGCTCAAGGACGTAGGCAAGTTGGCCTTCCGTCGCAAGGGGAAAACTGTGGTGTAGCGGGAGTAGTCGTCAACCACAATCAGAAAGTAGTGCTCCTGACGTGGGCCAAGGACTGGGGAGGGGCCCCAGACGTCCAAGTGCAGGGTCTATAAGGGAGCCGTGGTGGGGGGGAACGAGGAGTAGTGAGGGGCACCGCGCTGCCGACCCCCGACACAGGGAGTGCACGGCGGCGCAGGCGAGCGAGGAAGTGGGGCAAGCGACTCTGGGAGACCTGAGACCAGATGGTGACATACCATCCTAATGAGACGTGGGAACGACGGGTGACCGAGACGGTGGTGCCAGAGGACCGACGGGTGGGTGAGTGACCGACTATCGCACGACACAGCAGCTACCTGACCAGACCCAGTGTGGTGGGACTCAGTGTGTAGTGAGTACAGACCAGAGCCCGGCTCCCTGTGGAAAGTGTCTAGAGGCGACCCAGTGGCACCGACTGTGCAGGAGGCAAGAGGCTCGTGCAGTGGGAAAGTAGTGACAACTCCGAGGTCGTGGAGGTGAATGATACCCACCAGGTTCCTAGAGAACGAGGGGGTGTAGTAACCTCTGAGAGAACCAGAGGGAGCCGCTGTACACGGAAGAGTGGTGGTGCTCTCGGCAACTACAGATCCTACAGAGGGGTCAGCCAAGGCGACAGTGACTGGAGTGTGCAGTGGCGTGAGGTCAGTGCAGTCGCGAAAGAAACAGCTGGACGCTCTTGAGTCTAGGGTGAAGGAAAGCCGTGCAGTCGGTGAGGTCGCACCCAAGCCAGCGACAAAGGCTGGTACTAGTCAAGTGGTAGCTGCAGCTCCCACACTAAGAACCTCTGAGGCGCATGGACCGGAAGCTACACACGCACCAAGAATGGAAACGCAAGGCTCAAGAGCGGGTGCAGCTCCCACGTACCGGTGTGTGTATTGGCCGGGTCTGTCAGGGCTCCGCTGTGGGGGTTGCTGCAGGCGCTGCAGTTGAACCCGCCACTGCTACAGCTGCGGCCACTGGTACTGCTGCTGCTGCCACTGCTGCTACTACGACCACTGCTGTTGCTGCGGCTGTCACCACAACAACATGGCAAGCTAGTACGGGGGGGGGGGGGGGGGGGGGGTACGCTGGCGGGAGCCTAAGTTGCTGCTGGTACGTTGGGGTAGTCTATGCTGCTGTTGGTGATATTGGTGGCAGTCTAGGCTGCTGAGAGTGCGCTGGAGGCAGTGGAGGTTGCTGCTGGTGCTACTGGTGGAAGTCTAAGCTGCTGCTGGTGCGCTCGGGGCAGCCTATACTGCTGATGGTGCAACTGATGGTATTCTAGTACGGTGGTGAACGGTTGGGCGGGGTTGAAAGCGGCTGGGAATGGTGTTGGATGGTCAGGTGGGGCTAGTAGTGGCTTGGTGCGGTGGAATGCGGTTGAGTGCGGTTCTGGTGCTTGTGGGAGGGGTTCAGTGCGGTCAGATGCGG